GGATAAAACTACAAAAGTGAGAAAATTCCTGTCCTTCAGGAGTTTATGACATAAATATCCTTAAGACTTTATCATTTTTCTGTGTGGGGGGGAAAGAAGGTTGAACTTCGATCCTAAATAAGGATTTAGGTTCATATCCCACCTCTGACATTAGCTATTGTAACAATAGATGTCACATGTCTGATTCTCAGTTGTCTCATCTGTACAATGGAGGCAACACTACCACCTACCTCACCACTATGAGCATCAAATAAAATAATGTATATAAAGCATTTTGCAAAAGTTAAAAAATGCAACTGTCAGCCAAGTGCTATATAACAGAGAGCCTACATAGTTTATTGGGTCCTGTGTCAAAAAGACTGGAATTCAAATCCAGCTTCAGCTGCTTTAATGTGTAATCATGGAAAAATAACTCCTATCTGTCTCAGTTTTCTCAATTGTAAAATGGGGATAAGAATAGCACCTACATCCCAAGGTTGTAAAGAAGACCAAAATATTTATTAAGCTTTAAGGATGGTGCCTGGCACACAGTAGGCACCACACAAATGCTACTCATATTACTGTTGTTGCCACTGCCATTTTTATTTTTCTCCCCCAAAGACCCTGAAAAGCAAAGGAAACTTAACAGATGAAGCTTTGAAAACCCTGAGAGGGTTCTTTTGTCTGTCAAGCTCTGTTTTTGCAGAACACATGGTATTCCACAGTGCAAGCTGTTTCACACATGGCTCTTAACAAACAGGAGAACACCGCCTGTACTCTGCACTTGGCCTTGCTTCAAGCAGTGAGTTAAGGTCCAGGTATACAAAGGTCTCTATGGTATCCAAATATAACAGCTGCATAGAATGTCATGACATATAAAGCCACTGAGACTTCATCTTTGGATATGGAAGAGAAGTCTGCCAAAACCTACTACACCACTTCTAATGACATAGTGAGAAGGAAAAGAAGTGGGCAGTGTAAAAGGCTGAGTTTGAAATTTCCAGTCATCAGGTAGTGAGTGGCTCATGCCCAGGAACTTGGAGTTGGCTAGCAGAGTTCAGGCCCTGTCAGGAACTTGGAGTTGGCTAGCAGAGTTCAGGCCCTGTCATAAATATTTGGTTGCAGTTCCACAAGAGTTCTGCTGCCCACACTGGCCTCCATGATCACAGTGAGATCAGGCACGCAAGGCTGGTACCATGCTCATGTCACTGTGGAGCAAAGAACTAGAAAGTAAAATGGCAAGAGAAGCAAGAACTGGGCTGAGAATTATATACTTCAGATTTGTAGAGTACCTCTACACTCATGATACATTCAGAAGAAATCCTTATAACGACAATTTTCAAGAACAGGGGGGAATATCTATCATTCCGTTATTATTGTTTGCAATTAGCCATTGAGATTTGGGGGGGGGGATGAAAAACTAGAGGGACAGAATTAAAATTACAAAGAACAATTTCAAGATGATCTCATAAAATAATTTTGTCAGTCTAATCAGTTTCATATCTTAAGTCATTCACTAAGGGTTATCAGAGAAGGGTAAAGGCCCTCAGCGACACTGGAATTTGGCTACGTATCTGATACAAACAAGGATTAAGGAAGAGATATATTCTAAGATAGCTGTTTTCTGCCCTAATTGCCACCCCCCAGCCCCAATCCAGATTTAATGTCAATGTGCCACAAAATAAGGCAAAAACTCCAGGCTCAATGAGGAATGTTCTTTTGGCACTAGATAAAAGAATCAGTGTCCCAACTCCATCATTAAGCAGGCTAAATCACTTAACCCCTCTAGGTCTCAGTTTCTTCATGTGTAAAATACGAAGTTATTGGACTAGATATTCTCTAAAGCTCCCTTCAATCCTAAATGTATAATACATGTCTTGAGAAAAATTTCAGGGCTATGAGAGTAGAAAAAAATAAAAGAACCAAGAAGCACAATACTAAAAATGGGAAATAATGAAATAAGGAGTCTGGAAATATGCTTAGCAGGATTATTTTGTTTTTGTTTTTGCTTTTTTAATTATCGTGGAGGGAAAACAAGCTTGACAAGAAAATGTAAATTTAGAATAACAATATTTTTTAAAATGCAAAGATATATGATATGAATAAAATTAAATATGTTCCTTCTACTCCTTAAATTTTCAATGCATAAACAGTATATGCTTTTTAAAAGATGGGAGGGGCAGTATAGTAGGGATGGTATTTAGGTAGTGAAATCATGCTTTTTCCAGTCTCAATGTTTCCTTTTGCAGGCATTAATGACTACAATCTTTTGTAATTAGCACCTCATAGAATAATTAAATGCCTATTCATTCCTTTGGTATATGCAAAACATTTTCCTTAATGGTATTAGAATGAATATTTCCCTTTCCTACTTAGTAACCAAACTAGGGCTGTGATTCCATTTCGAATGTATTCACATGTAATAATACATAGTGGAAACATAACAATTTAAGAACAAGGCATTAAACTCTAGGAGAAAGTTTGTCATACCTGAAAGCATTCTTGGTAAGCAAGAGATTCCATGACAGTATTATTGGAAAAATATTTTAGCAGCCGTTGAAACAGGAAATGGAAATTTTTTATGCCAAAGGAAAGACTGGTAATCATGCCAGAAGTAGTAACAATAGTCAACAAGTACTTATTGAGAAATAATACTATGCTGGATACTTAAGAAATAACACTGTGAAATACTGGCATTTTTATTCACCAAACTGTAGTGTATTTAAAATCATTTTACTATAAGCAATGAAAAACAAAACTACCTTACAAATAATTTACCATAGAGAAATGTACTATATTGAGAGATAATGGAAGTAACTTCATTAAGCCAACATCTTAATTTTAAATTAAGATAGATAAAATCAGAAAATCATACACAGTGATTAAAGGAAGCAGAAGACCTTTCCTAGAAATAAGAACACTCACATGCTTGTCATTAGCATTATTATTTCCTCTGAATTTTAAATCTAACTTAAAGTTCTTGACAGTATGAAGGAAAAAAAAAGTCTTAGCTATGACATAGTTTAGTTATGACAGCTTAATTAATGTTTTCTTATACTAAATTTCAATTATACTTTAAAGGAGCAGAATGATTTTTTTAAGTCATTCTTGATAATCAATACTAATAAGAGGGAGAGGTTAACATAAATAAATGGTAGACATAAGGATGTATTAAAATTCTTTATATTTTCCACAATGCCTAACACAACACGGTGCCTTCCACATAAGAAATTCTTATAATAATATGGTGTGATAGAAGGAGCACAGAAAACCAGCCCAGTTATTTACCAGTATGTGACATTGGTAAATCATTTAACATCATTGAGCCTGAGATTTCTCATCTCTAAAATGAGGGGATTGGAAGAGGTAATCTTACAATACCTTATAGATCTAAATCATAGTATCTCCTATGATTGACTGATTGATTCCTTTCTTCTAAAGTGACTTTTCTTTGACTTGAGGAAAAAAGACATAGCCTACTTAGGTAGTGCAGGCATTGAGCCTTGTTATAAAAATATAAGTGAAAATTCCAGAACTTCTTTAAGCATGTTTATTTTAGCAGCAGTAGGAAAAAAAATAAAGATAGACATTTTATTTGCTTTAGAATTTTTTTGCTGAAATAAAAAAAAAACTTTAAGGTATGAGATAATATAAAATCCTAAGTATGAACGACCTATAATACACTGATTTTATTAACCACACCAGAGGACAAAAACATCTTTATTTATACTTCTCTGGGCTTCAGTTTCTTCTCTAAAATAAGTGGTCTGGACCAGTTCTAAAATTCTAAGACCTTATAACCATGAGTGCAAATTAATCTACAGAAAATGCTGCCACCTTGTGCTGAAAAATATTACCAAAGATAGAGGTCTGAGAGACTATCTGTGGATTACTAAAAATGAAGAAAAGAAATCTGCTTGTCATTTCACAGAAAAAGAGCTAAGTTTTTAACTGGGGGCTCTTTCAGAAGAATTCACTATTTCATTTTTTTTTAGGTGATTCTGTTGCAAAGCCCTATAGAAATTTCAAGGACAAAAAAATATCTCATGGATTTTTCTCCATTAAAGACCACTCTTAGTTATTGTCTTTCATAGATCTTTTTCAGTGAGCACTGTATGTATTCCATGAATCAAGCTAGAAACTGAAGAATTTCCCTACATAAAATTTAAGAAATGAAAGGCTTAAGAAGACAACATATGAGTGGTATAGTCTACAAATAGTAGAATACTATTAACAAGTGCCAGAAAAAAAATCAGATAAATTGCATAAGATCACAAACTTAGAGCTGGAAAGGACCTTACAAGCCATTAAGTTTAACCCTGCCACTTCATAAATGAGGAAACTGAGACACAGATTTAATGACTGCACAGGGTCACACAGCTAGTAAATGTTAGAAACAAGGTCATTCCCATTTTACAGATGAAGACCCTAGGGTTCAGAGAGGTTTAGTGTCTTGTCCACTGTTATACAGCCAGCAGGTATCAGATGTGGGATTTGAAATAAGATATCTCTTAATTTCAAGTCTAATAATCTTTCTCCTCCATCACAGAAAATCTGAAATGAGGCCCCGTCTCTATAAGTTCACAGAGGCTCATTATCAGAAGGCTAGCCACTAAATGACATATTGGGGGGAGGGAGAAGGAGAATAAGGGCCAGGGTGGGATGGGTAACAGTAAGTCATGAAGATTATCTACTAAGACAGTAAGGAGTTCTCATCTACAAGGGTCTGTGGAGGATAATTTCATACCAGTGAAATCAAAGATCTTTTGAACTACTTGAAGTTCATGAATAGTCTTCATACTTTTGAAATGAGTAGCTATGTAGGAAGAAACAATGTGCTACAGTGGAAAGAGAGTTAGCCTCACAGCCAAAGCCCTGGGTTCAAGTCCACCTCTGATACATATTAGCAATGTAACTCTAGGCAAGTCACTTAACTTCTCAGGGCTCCAATGACTCTCTTCACACATCTGATATAAGAAGGGAGAAAAATGCTAAATTTTGACCTATAAAGAAACTCTCACCCAGACAGCATCTCAAATATCAGAATCCCAAGAGCCCACCAGTCTACTGCTCTTCCATGACCTTTACTCTGTATGACTTCTGGAGCAAGGTATTCTGGTGTCCCACAGAGCGTCCATGTTCTGGAAGAATAACAAATAACAAAGGTGGGAAAAGAATTATCAATTTTTCAATATATTTTTCAGTTCCAAAGTTTCACATATTCTTATTGATCCAAAGATATACATTTCTGTGTAAATATGATTTACCTATACAGAAATAAGAAAGGAATTTTTCTTCTCCTTGTGGATTTTTCACAGTTTTTAACAAAAGCAAGAGATAAGAGGCAACAAACCTATTGTTATTAATGGAAAACAATAAAAACAGAAAATAGGCTATTTAATCCTTATGAAGGTATGTTAGGCTAAGTGAATTAATTAACCTAATTCACAAGCAGCCTAAGTGAGTTACTCAGTGACTTTTTCAAAGGCAAGTTCGGATACATCTGAGCCCATTCCCTAACCAGTTTAATACCACTGATAAACGTCAAAATCATCTTGTAGTGATTGAGATTAATAAGATTTTTAAAGAACACCCAATGAAAATTTGGCTTTGAGAACAAGTAACACTCTTTAGAAAAAATTGCTACTGCTCAAATATTGATATGTTGACATTTTTTGTGGAAGCACCTTCTTAGCAAAATAAAGTTTATTATAATTTCACCTGTAGCTTATCATGCTACTTAGACTGAATACATCACTTGATTCTTAGTTTAAACTGGAAAAAGTACCAAGTTTTTTGAACCGCTAAAAAACAAATGAGCAAATCTGATATAATTCTAATTTTTAGTGCCATCTAACAGCAGACTAAATGCAAGTAAATGTACTAAAATGCTGTGGGTTATTTTAAAAAACAAAAATTAAAACTAAAACATCATTTTTTTTAAATAATATACAATCTAAAATGTTATTTTTAAATTTTCAGTTGTGAAGAATATAAAACTACAAACTTCTTTACCTAGATTTCACAGTCCTTTGACTTTTCAGGTGACCTTTTGACATACTCAAAACTTCATTTCTAATGTAAACTTTGGCTAATTTTATGCAAAGTACCTGAAATGAAGATGGATCAGAGATACCAATATCTAACCAGAATAGTCACAGAGTAACTTGCTTGAGTTCAACTGGCACTGTTAAAATTATTTAAATATTATAGAGGTGATAAGCAATCTTTTCAGTCTAAAAGATTTATTCTGCCAAAAAAAAAAACTGGGAAAGGGGGTGGCTATGTGGTTCAGTGGACAGAGTATTGATCCTGGAGTCAGGAGGACCTGAGTTCAAATCTAGCCTCAGACACTTGATACTTACTAGCTGTGTGACCCTGGGCAAGTCACTTAATCCCACTGCCTAGCCAAAACCAAAACAAAACAAAAAAAGATTTCTTCTGCATCATATCTCGGTAAAGAATTAGGATCAAAGAGTAGAAGATACAGGGAGGGGCATTTTTTGGCTGTATAAAAGGAACTTTTTACTACCAATGAGAGATGCCCCAAATGAAAGGGGATACCCAGTTGGGATTCCTTGTCACTGGAAGTGTTTAAGCAAAAGCTAAAGGGCTACTTATAAGGGGCATGGTATAAATTTATTTGTGCAAAAAGCAAGGGGCTGGACTAATACTAGATCACCAATTAGGGGAGAAAAGGGCACTTTAAGGAGTAGGGAGAATGCAAACAGAATCGTATGGTATACATAATACAAAGGTCAAGGGAAATAAATGAAGTTAGTGGCAGCTAACTGTACCAGAATTTCTGCCAGCATATTTAAGAGAGCCATACTACAGCACTAATATTTCTTAGATCACAGCATCCCACAAATAAACATGTGGTGAGAATCAGTGGTTCACATGGGCAAAGTAGAGGCATTGTAGAACAGTGTAAATAAAGCTAGATTTCAAATCAGCAGACTTGTGATCAAGTCTCCGCTGTGTCACTTATTTTTACCTGTGTGATGGCCAAATCATTCTATCTATCTGGGCCTCAGTTTCCTCATATACAAAATGAGGGAGTTGGACTAGAAGACCTGTAAGATCCTTTCCAGCTCCAAAACTATGGTTTTAGGAAAGAATGGTTGAGTCTTAGATGTGTGGGGTGGGGGGGATTATGGGGGCTCCATTACTCACACTGTATTTGATTCCAGGTCTCTTCCTCTGACTCCACCTCTGTGATGCATGGGGATGGGTGTTTGCATCAGTCCTGGTCATGATTCATGCTGGTCCAGAGACCAAAAATTGCACTCACAGAGCTTGTGGGATCTAGCTACTAGTACTGCCTATATGAACTGTACCAATTGAGTTTACTCCTCATTTCCAACTCACAGAGAAAGAAATCCAAAGAGGGTATTGGGCCTCACTCTAAACTAAACAGTTTTTCCACATTTTTGACAAATCATATCAAACTACTAGGGTCTGAAAAGCGGCACATTTAAGAAAGAAAAAATACACACACACAAACACAAACACACACTACTATCTGGGAAAATGTCCCAAGAGATACAGATGAGGATAATTTTGATGAGGATAATTTAAATTAGAATCCTTACATCAGTGGTGTCAAACTCTAGAAACTACTAAATAGTACATAAAAATCTCTGTAGCCACACATTTACTTAGAAAATCACATTATGACTAATGTGAAAATGTTTAATAGGAATGTATATGCAGAGCTTGTATCAGATTGCATGCCATCTTAGGGAGGGAGGTGGGCAGGGAGGGCGAGAAAATTTAAAACTCAAAAGCTTATGTAAGTGAATGTTGAAAACTAAAAATAAATAAATTAATTAAAAAAAAAGAAAACCACATGTTAATATTATCTATGTATGTTCTATTATATTTTTAAATATTCCCAATTACAAATTACTGCAGTTTGGCTTCACCCAGATGCATGTTTAACTCTTCTATAATCAACATGTACACCAGGGATTCTTCCTTTAGGAATCAAATGTCAATTTCCTATGTCTACTAAAGCCCACAGATATGTAAAGTGATGTATAATGCTACCTCTTAATTTTAAACTTATATAGATTATAGAACTTTTACAGACTATTTTACCAGTCCTACTTTTATTTATTTCCCTAAGTAGCAGAGATCATTTTATAATTTATCCACATATATTTGCATAGGGAAGAAATAGAGAAGACAGGCCTCAATCTATATACCTTTAAAAAAAATTAAAATTTATTTTCTTCTGAAAACATTTATAGTTGTATCTTTTCTTATTGTTTCACCTACATTTCCTCCTGCATAACTCTGACCCTTTCCCCTCTCAGAGAATTATTCATTCTCTATAAATTTTTAAAGGGTAGAAATAAAGAGAAAAAATAAATAAAAGCAATAAACAAAAGGAAAAAGGTGACACAATGTTTAACACTATGGACCCCAACATCTGCAAAGCAGTAGTGGGGGCTGTCTCTTCATATCTTTTCTTTGCTGGCTGGCATGTACTTCGTAATCCTGCAGCATTCAATTTTGATTTTGCTGCAGTAGTTGTTATTTCTATTTACAATGTCATAGTCATGTATTTTATATTGATTTTTTTGGATATTTACTTTACATTGTCTCAATTCATGTAAGTCCCTCCATGACTCTCTATATTCATCATCTTTGTTGTTTCGTACAGCACAGTAATATTTAATTACACCCACATAGCCCAATGTGTTCAGCCATTTCCTAATCAATGGGTATCTTTGTTTCTAGTTCTTTGCTACCACAAAAACTGCTGTTATAAATATTTCAGAACATATAGAGCTTTTCTTTTTGTCAATGACCTTTTGGCAGACAATAAGCCTAGCAGTAGAATCTCTGGGTAAAAGAATATGAACCATTTAATTTTTTTCCCCATTATTCCAAATTGTTTTCCAGAATGGTTAGGCCCAGTCGCAATTCCATCATCATTGTATTCGTGGGCCTGTTTTTCCACAACTACTCCAGCACAATTCCAATGTCTTCTTGTCTTTGCCATTTTACTGGGTGTTTTGATTATTAGTTATTTGGAGTGTTCTTTCATTATAATTGTTAATCATTTGCAATTTCTCTTTTTGAGAACTTTGTTCCTATCTTTTGATCATTTATCTATAGGAAAATGGTTTTTGTCATTATATATGTTAGCTGTTACCATGTCTTGAATAGTAAACACTTAGAAATAAATGACAGAAAGATTTTTTCCCATTCAAAAGCTTCCATTCTTATTCCAGATGAGTTAATTTTGTTCATAAAAAAGCTTTTCCATTTAATGAGAATTATCTATTTATCTTTTGTAATTGTCTCTATCCCTTGTTTAGTCAATAAATTATCCTCTACCCATAACTGTGAAAGATATACAATCAATTTATATTCTTAATTAACATTGAATTCAAGGAGTAATGTGAACACTTAAAAAAGCAAACAAATCATTCCAGTGTTAGACTTACAAAAAAACTATGTAGTTTTCTACCATTCAGCAAAACTACTTAAATATCCAAAGAATATTTCTTTTATGTGAACTTCATAAAGACGGTAGGAAATATTTGGTTAATTTCGTGGTTTTGAAAATAATCATTTTGATATTTTTGCTTTTCACATCAGAGTCAATTCCTAAGACTGACCTGTTCTGACCCCACTCCCCAACCTCTCTCATATAAACAAAGTAAAATAGTTAAGCTGAAAAGGAATCACAACTTCCACATCTATTAATTTTCTATAGCCTATCTAACTTTTTAAATTCTTTACAACTTCTAAAACTCTAAATTAACTCTCCACCATCCAATTCCATTTTGCCCTATTCCATTCCATGTTCTGCTCCACTATTATCTTTTAAATCTTCTGAAACCCACCTGCATCTGAGACACGTTCTAAATTAAGTGAGGATTACACTTCTGTACTCTCAAACAGGTAACAGCATAATGTTATTATATTAATATTATATATTATTATATATTATATGTATTATTATAATATATATTATAAAATTAGTATATTATAGTAGCCCTTATACATTCTGTCAATGATGCTTGGAAGTTTAATGAGAGATAGTGTGTAGTGGATACAGGTCAAAGTAAGGAAGACCACTTCTCTTGCTTTTTTTGTGTGTGTGTTTTTAGGCAATTGGGGT